ATGACAACCAAAAATAAGGTCACCATATAAATTGTTGTTTTTAGACATTGTATCGGTATATAGTTCTGAAAGACAAATAAATGATCCTAGCAGACGCCCAAATTATTCACTAAAAAAGCACCATACCTGGGCTTGTTCGCCCCCGGCATAACACTGTGGGCGGACAAGTTTACGTCCAAATGAGTGACAAAGGAAATGAACCTTTTGAAACCTTATGTCCAAAGATTGCTAGAACTCGGTGGTTGGGTCAAAGGAAAGCTTGCCAAGGGCGTTTGTATTGACCAGATTATCCTACCACAACAGAAGCAAAAGCAAAATTCCCACCAAAAGCTGTTGGGTTTTGCAGGCTAAGATTTTAACGGGTACCTAAATGTCATAAGCAGTTACATCTTTTGACTGTAACCTTCCAAAATGTGGTCTTCTCCCCTCTCAAGGCCAAGGGAGCCGTTACACACCCATGAGTTTCGAAGACATTTTTAATCAACAACTGTCGTTCATGAGATAAAAAGTGTTGTTAAGTGCTTGGAGTTTGGTCTAATTGGCCTCCAAGTGGGAGAAACGTTTGACTAGAAGTGTCTAAACAAGTTTCGTTCTCTTGATCATCCGGTAACCTTTCCTTAAGCGATTGAAATTTGATCTAATTGGACTCCAAGCATGAGAAAAGTACAAGTAGAAGTCTGGTCGAGTCTCATTGTGTTGACCATACATTCTAAACATCATACCTTTCTTAGTTCTGGTGAGTCTCGTTCTGTTGACTAGACATTCCAAAAATCATACCTTTTAGTAATATTTTTGGTGTCTAATCGAAACTTATAAAGTGTCATTTTTCTCTGTAACTAAAACAAATTACATCATCATTTTCAATTCATTGCGTTCCAAATTTAAATTTACTGTGTCCCAAGTTCAAAACTTTCCTTTATATCAATTATATTCAAAAACATTTTCATCATCCAAGCTCCATTGCAAAATGCAATCATATTAAATATAACATAATGCACATCTCAAAATTACCATTACCATCCATAATCAAAATTATTAGCCTAACCCACCATACATGTCCCGCTGCTTCTCGGCGTCCCTCTCCAACCCCAAACACCGAATCTTTAGCTGAAACTGCATCACTGCCGTCAGAAACCTCACAGCCTGCCCCGAGCTCAGCAAATCCACCAGCTTCGTCGCCATCGTCGTCCTCAGCAAGTTGGCATTCTCCACCACGGTCTCCAATGCCGACTTAAGCGACTTGATCACCGCGTCGTCCTCCACAATCTCCCCATGGCCGGCCCTCCCGTACCGTCGCACCGCATCCATGAACGGCGGCGCCGCCACGCTCTCGTGAATCTTGGCGAGCTTGTCGTTGAGCGCGCGCTCCTCGACCCGGGTCGCCTCCCTCAACCGGGCCATCCTGACCCGCTGCTGGTCGCTCAAATCGGGCACCGACTCGGTCACGAGCCGGAATACGATACCAGGTTTGTACCCGGCGATCCAAAGCAGGCTCCTTTCGTAGAAAGTATACCATGTCGGCGAGGAAACCAGTAAAACATCCCGCTGTCCAAGTCGCCATTTCTCGTCGTAATACTGCTGGTAATGGAAGAGAACCCGAGACACCAAATGTCGGAGGTCTTCATCTCAGGCCTCGTCGATCGTCTGCTGGGCCGATAAGAGCTCATCCAAGAAGTGTTCTTGCCGGACCAGCCAGCCCTCGTATAATGCCTCGAATGTGTTCGACGCATTGCCGCTGTGAGAGCCGTTTGTCATAACCAAAACAAAAACAGCAAAGCTTTCTGGGGTTTTAATGGCGGCGAAAAACAGAGAGATGGGCGGGATTAAATAGGAGGTGGGATTCGAAAGGTGCGGGATTTCTTTTGGGATTTTGGTTTTTGATTATCTTTGTGGGCAAGTAATGCTAATGGGTGAGGATACTTCGAGAGCAAGGTTCATGCATTTTGTTTTTTCAGAGGGAGAGAGAGGGAAACAGAGGAGGTGAGGCTCAGACGGAGACGCGTGTGCAGGTAGACGCCATTAAAGAGAGAAAAAGAGAGAGAGGAAGAGAGTGAGAATTATCTTTATATTCCTATTATTTGACATAATAAAAGCCTAAAAACTAGATCTGCAGTATCAATTTCTAGTTAAATCTTGACTATTCTTGTCTATCTCTTTGAGTGTTTGGACTTTGCTTTAGGAGTGTGCAAAACTTGGATAAACAATAGGCATAACGTCGGGCTTAACTGTATCCGCAAGGCTTATTCGCATATCCCTTTCGCACATTGTATGTCGGGGCAAATAGATTATGAACGGCAACATATTTATACGTGCCTTAAAACAATCTTTCATCCTTCGTCATAACCATAACCCACATGCTACCAAAAAAAAAAAATCCAACAAAACTTGTGTAGCACATGCAACCATCTGGGAAGAAATATGAGACTGAAATGTTATAAATTGCTTCAGCAGTGAGTTTATCAGATTCTAAACAGGATAGACATAACCAAGACAATTACAAATAGCTCCACACAAATAAGATTTTGAAAGCTTCAAGTCATACAAATGAAAACTTCGTCCCTATAAAACAACCGCTAACATAAAAAGGCAAGGTTCAAAGCGATGGCAGGAAAGGTAGAGAAAAACAAAAAAAGAAAAACCACAAGCAGCATATCTTTGCCATTCTTTAGCCTTCTTGAACTTTGAGGTACGTGTCTTTAATTGCACTCATTTTTCCAACAACCATATTCAGAAGCATCCGCTCCTTTGGTGATACTGCACAGCAGGAAAGTCCTATCTGCATCACAGCAAACAAGCATTCCTCTACCTTTTTTGCTTTCACCATTCCACGATTGTTACATCTGGGCAGCGCAATCATTTCGTATCTGTCATCATTAACACTACCATCAGCTTCGAGGTCGAGGAGCAATGAAGGGTCAACAACGTCCATGACATGGTCGGGCAAAGCCATGGCTGCGAATTTGTAAATGCTTAGACCTTCGATGAACATGTCATCAGTAGGTGTTTTTCCTGTGAACATTTCTAGCAAAAGTATCCCGTAGCTGTAAACATCTCCCTGTATGGAAACTTGGCCTCCCATGCCGTACTCTGCCATGACATACATATAGACAATAAGATGTCACGTGCAATTGACTATTAAAATTGATATCTTATTTCAGATTAATGTTACTTGTTTCCAGGAAAAAGAATCAATAGTATATCTTTAATAAATAGAATTTAATTAATTGGTTTTTAGTAATAAGTTAATAATTAAGAACCGAAAAAATAAATTAGAATGATGGAAACTCATACCTGGAGGAATGTAACCTATAGAACCCTTTAGTTGCGATGACATTATTTGACTGAGGGAAGGATCATTTGATGCGTCCAAGAGGAACCTTGCTAAACCAAAGTCCCCAACATGGGCTACCATGTCTTCATCAAGAAGTACATTGCTCGGCTTTAGATCACAATGAACAATGGATGTTTCACAATGGTTGTGGAGGTAATCTAATGCAGAAGCAACATCAATGGCTATGTTCAATCTTTGCATAAAATTCAATCTCTTACTTGGAGATTGCTCCTCATCTCTAGGATGCAACCACGAGTCAAGACTTCCATTTGGCATGAACTCGAAGACTAGACTTTTGAAGTCTCTACCATGATTATCAATGCTCGAGCATGCAATTATGATCTTGAGAAGATTTCTGTGCCTGACATTTCTTAAAGCTTTGCATTCATCATTGAAACTCTTGGACGCTCCTTGTTGTTGAAGGTTTAATACCTTAACAGCAACTACCGTTCCATCGCTAGGAATTACTCCCTTATAAACAGAACCAAAACTTCCCGAACCAATCAAATTATCCACCGAGAAACCATTAGTCGATTCAACAAGTTGTGAGTAGGAAACACCTAATTTCCAATCCTTATAAGAACGTGAAGTTACAAGTCCTTCTCTTGACTTTTTCAGCATTGAACGAGCACCGAAGAAGCATGATAGAGCAATTATGAATGCAAGTGCACAAGATACAAGGATGACTACTTTTGGGGAAAGTAGTCCTCGAGATGAATGGTGTTTGTTTTTGGGGCATGCAGGTAGATGTAATTGTGGGATGCCACCACAGAGCATATGATTTCCAAGAACCGAGACACCACTGACATTTGAAAAAATTCCTTCTTTAGGCAACTCACCTTCAAAATCATTATAAGAAAGATTGAGATACTTAAGTGCTCCAAGCTTGCCTAAGAATTCAGGAATCTGCCCGGATAAGTTATTACTTGAAATGTCAAGTTCTTCCAAGCCCTTCAAATCTTTAAGAGACTGAGGAATTGTTCCTTCAAATTTGTTGTCGTCCAAGTACAAGCCCCCCAAACTAGCACACCTACCGATGGTGTTGGGGATTTCACCTGATAACTTGTTTTTTGATACATTTAGCACTGTGAGATGCACCAGATCACCCACATTACTTGGCAGTGAACCAGTCAAATAATTTTCAGACAGGTCCAAACTAATTGCAAGGGTTGAAAGCTCCATAAGCTTTTGAGGTATGCTGCCCGTTAGATTGTTATTGAAAAGCCAAAGTAGTAACAGGTTCTGGCATTTTCCAAGACTTGGAGGTATACTTCCCTCAAAACTGTTTCCGTCCATGTAGAGCTCTGTCAATGAAGTTAAATTACCAAGGGAAGATGGAATTGTCCCAGAAAATTTGTTAGCATCCATATCCAGTACCTCCATCTTCTCGAGCTTCCCAATTTCTTCAGGGACAACACCCGCCAAATAGTTATTAGACATCGCTAGACCGGTAAGGTTTATAAGATTTCCAATGCCGTTTGGGAGGCTTCCATGTAACAAATTATACCCAAGATAAAGACCTTGTAGTTGGGTCGAAAGATTGGCTATGGATCTCGGGATTTCTCCCCCAAAACGATTAATGCTAAGACCCAGATATTGAAGACTAGTACAATTAGTCAAGAAATTGAGAAAACTCATATCACCAAGTTTTCCATTTCCCAGTCGATTGTCAAAAAACGTTTAGGAAAATTAAGCTTCGCAAGCTTCCGAGACTTTCTCCAGGGATTGTCCCCGTGAAGTCATTTTGAGCAAAATCAATCCGCTGAAGTCTGGAAGCATTTGACAATGATACAGGAATATTTCCTGTGAAATTGTTTATACCACAGTAAAATTCTACGAGATTAGGAAGCAGGATGCCGAGATTTTGTGGTAGCTCTCCATGGAATTGGTTCATAAAAACACCAAATATGTATATGGAAGAAATATTATAAATTGAAGAAGGGAGCATACCAGACAAATTATTGTCCCCAACTATGAATAATTCCAAGGTTGTTATATGCCCGAGCTCATTTGGTATGCTTCCTTGAAAATTGTTGCCGCGAAGTCTAAGATTCCTCAAAGAAGAAAAGTTTCCTATCCAACCTGGGATGGTTCCACTGAGATTATTTTTTCCAAGTTGTAGAACAGTCAAACTCAACCATGAACTCAGTTGGCGTGGAATTGACCCAATAATCTTATTGGATAAAAGATCCAAAAATTTGAGTTGTGTACAGTGGGACATATTAGTCGGAAGTTTCCCGCCTAAAGAATTGAAAGACAGGTTGAGACTTTCCAAGGTCCGCAGTCGACCCAATTCTTGAGGAATGTCACCATGAAACTTGTTGATTCCCAAGCTTATTTCAATTAGACGAGTAAGATTCCCAATGGAAGGTGGAATGGAGCCTACCAATTGTTTATCTTGCAGGTCCAGAATCAAGACTCTTTGGGTGGCACGGTGGCATGTAATGCCTACCCAGCTGCAGAAGTGGATGGAATGATTCCACGAGCTCATGACACTGAGAGGATCTTCAGTTACTCTTTTCTTGAAGTCTAGCAAAGCCAAGCGATCAGATTCGTTTCCAAGCAGGGTAGAGCTGGGAAATGCTGCAGATTCCGGACATGTGCTCATCATGCATAAGACTAAGAGAAAGAAGCCATGCAGGAATTTCAACAAAACCAGATTAGGAATAGTACGTGAATGCTCCATCATTGTTCAAAGACAAATGAAAAACCAGAAAACCAAAGTTTAATTTTCACAAAAGCACGAAAGAGAAGATAATTGATATTTTTTCCCTTAGTGTGATACTTGCTAGCAGATAATTCATTTCTTAGTCTTTGCTATCCATGATAACATCCACTAAGACATCATGTTCTATCATTTCATTTCATCAGTTTGACGAGAATTTTGAAATTGCACCCAAACGGTGACTTGGAGTTAGTGGAAGACTCCCAACTCTGAGTTCAATCTTTTGCAGCAAACAGTGTTTGACCTCTTTATGGCCTCTCCTAGAGTTTAACACTTGTCCATTACTAACTCCACTCTTAAACGTTGTTAACTCACTTAAAGCCATTCTTCATTCCACTTAATCACATCAAAACCTCAACTCAGTTTTGGCAGTAAGTGATGTGAATTCCGGCCATAAATTTGACAAACTGCCAACATTCATGAGGTGGTTTTGGTGGGCATCAGTAACCACGTTGGAAGAGGAAAGTGAGAATTTGCAGACTTTTTCATCATAATTACTGTCTTTTCATTTAATTTTATTTTATTTTATTTTATTTCAGTGGGCCATTTCTTGTATGGATTACTTACCTAAAATCCCTTAGCTTGTTAGTGTCATTCTAAATCGGTCTCAACTTTTTAAACATTCCAAACAATTACTCAACCTACTGAAAATGTCACATCCTTTAAGCCCTAGTTAAAACTATGCTAAATTAACTAGGAGTCACTTTGTCTCCAAAATCAATAGAAGGTCATCAAAGCATAGCATCTACCAGCGAACGGCCACCACTAGCCCCATCATGCCATCACCTCCAAACCTATCACAAACCCACTAACTCCACCCTACAACTCTAACCGCCAACATCAAGAAGAAGGTCCTGGAGGTTGCTAAAATGGTAAGAACTGTCATGATCCGGCCACTACCATCTTTACCACCTCCAAAGAAGAACTGAAAACTTTACGAGCCGAGAATTGGAGTATGAGAAAATCAAATGAGCAAAACAAGCTCCTTGAAACTTTATCTGACTTCTTAATCCTCTTATTTGTTAGAAAAATGTCCTCCTAATATAGTTTCAATTTGGGTCCATTTTCGATTCAATTCAATATTTTTTTGTTCATTGGATTCCATATTTACATAATCTATGTTTGAAATTCAAATTTTGAGGCAACCAATATTAATGTTGACCATGATATACCCAATTGGTGGATTTTGAACATAATATATGTTTGAAAAATTAACTATGGCTTAACGGATGTGACATTTTTAATAAGTTGGGTACTTATTTGGAATGTTTAAAAAGGTCGAGACCAATTTGGAATGACACTAAAAAATTAGGGGGTTTTAGTCATTTAATCCTTCTTTTACTTATTTTCATTTCCTTTTAACGTTTCTATACAAATTCAAGTGGAAAGTACACGTGGGTAGCAAATCGTTGCAAACTGGCTTTCTTCTTCTTCTTTTTTTAGCGAAACCTCGACGGTACGAGGAAATTTTTATAGAATTAGAAAAAAGAAGTTATACTTAGTCATGAGAACATAAACCTCACATATCATACTACAAGAAGAAATGAAAAAAAAAATACAAGAAAAAACGGGGCATAAATCTGAGTCTTCTTAAGAAAACAAATAAAAATACAAGAAAATGGAGGGATGTTAAGCCTACATCCCTCTAAACAAAAACCTAGAAGGTTTAAACATGCAAAACAAGTTGCAAATCACCAAAAGCAATAGGATAGATAAAAAATAAAAAAAAACAAACATCATGCAGGAGGATAAACCTATAAATTGGAATGCACATTATGTTGATTTGAGTTTTCATTGAAAATATTCTTGAAATCCTATTTTAGGTAGGATTAGTAGTTTTAGCTCACGCGTTGCCGCTAGAATGTTAAATAAATTACAAATATTGTATATAAGTATCAAAATAATGGACTAAATGTGTTGTAAGCATTGTGCATGGATAGGTAAGAACTATCTACATACAACATCAACGTAAAAAAATCTGAGGACAAACACTGTCTGATTGAGACTATATCTTATGAACATAAAGAAAGAGCAACATCTAAGAAATTTAATTTCTTAGTCAATATTTGTTCTCTTTATATAAGAAGAGATATCATGCAATAAATAAGCTTCACTATAAAAAATAAAAAATGAGTGTCAACGAAGATATTAGACCCTAATCTTAAAAGGGTCTCCTCCACCACTCAAAATCTCCACACCAAAACAGAAAATTCCAGTGCTTTCAAACAACCAACAAAAATAAAAACTTAGTTTTCATATATATACAAATATATATAACCACATAAGCATAGGCTTAGGAGCAAAAAGGAAGGGGGGTTGTAGGGTAATTTGATTTCATCGGTTGCTTTTGGTACCCTTAAGACAATGCAAGCATTCATAAATGTTTGAACATGATTATCATTTTCTCATACTGCGCTTATATGATTATTTCTAGTCAGGGTTTGCAAAGTTAACAACGATTGAGAGATGAGTTTAACCTGCATCAGCAAATACAAAAGGGCATTGTAAGTGTTTAGTCCATTTGAAATCATGTCACCTTTGGAGTAAATTCAAAACAATTTCGATTTGTTTGGATCACATAAGATTATTAAAAGATAAAAAAAAAAACAAGCCTTAAATGCTACAAGCATTGGATGGTCTGGATTAATGGGACCACAATAATAACTAATTCAAACCAATCCAGACCATCCAATGCTTGTAGCATTTAAAGCTACGTAGCATAAAATAATTTTCTCCTTTAATACCCATAATAAGTACAAAAATTTAATGAAAATTGTATCTTAAAGGGTGATTTTGTATAGAATCAATAAAAAGTTACAATATTTATGTTAATTATAAATATGTTAATCGTGTATTATGAATCACTTAAATGCATTTAAAATAATCAAAAAAATTACCAAATCTTCCATTACAGCTAGCATTCACTTCAATTGGCATTATATTTTAGAATAGATCAGTACAGATTTAGACATTGCAAGGAAGTTTCTGTTTCCTGATTCTGTTTTTTGTACATTTGGATTCTGACTCTGCATTGCAGTGTCTGCTTCCTAGTTTCATTTTTTCATCACTCACGCACCTCATATGCTTCAGACCTCATGCGACTCATGATTTTTACATTTGGATTACATTGCAATGCATTGTCCATTCATGGTTTTGAATTGCAGACCATAGAATTGTTGCTCTCTCATCTCACTGTCCCTCACTTGGCAAACTCATCTACTTAACTAGACCAGCTCTCCTCTTAGTGATGGCTTGCACGAAAATTTAATCTTTTGTAACATATTTATTCACCGAATCAGGGCTTCTATATGTTTCCTATGTCTTGGTAGTCTAGCCAACTCTGCCTTTGTCCAATAACCATTTTGATGTTTAAGGAAAAGAACAGAAGTAGACTTTTTTATAGTTTCTTTTACATAGGCATTATTGGACCAAACTCAAGAGACCCTTGAGCTGGAACAGAGAATCACTAAGATGACTCTCTTATTGAGAACCTACCCTTGAGTTGAGCTGACTCCTCCGTGTAAAGAAGACGTTTTCTATGTTTTTTTTATACACTACCGTTTTATACGTTTTACTTGTATTCCTTATTGTAGTTCTTTCTATTCATTATAAATTGGAATTGATTTTTTTCCTTAGTGTGATATTTGCTAGCAGATAATTGATTTCTTAGTCTTTGCTATCCATGATAACATCCACTAAAACATTATGTTCTATCATTTCATTATAAATTGTAATTAATTTTTTCCTTAGTGTGATACTTACTAGAAGATAATTGATTTCTTTGTCTTTGCTATCCATGATAACATCCACTAAAACATTATGTTCTATCATTTCATTTCATCAATTGGACCAGAATTTTGAAATTGCATCCAAAAGGTGACTTGGAGTTAGTGGAAAACTCCCAACTATGAGTTCAAATCTTTTTTTACGATAATTTTGAAATTGCACCAACATGGTGACTTGAAGTTAGTGGAAGACTCCCAACTCTGAGTTCAAATCTTTTGCAACCAAGCAATGTCTGACCTCTTTATGGCCTCTCTTAGAGTATGACACTTATCCATTACTAACTCCACTCTTAATTGTTGTTAACTCACTTAAAGCCATTCTTCATTCCATTTAATCACATCAAAACCTCAAAACAAGTTGCAAAACACTAAAGCAATAGGTTAGGAAACAAAAAGAAAAACAAACATCATGCAGGAGGACAAACTTATAAATCAGAATGCACATTATGTTGATTTGAGTCTTAATTGTAAAATTCTTGGAGTCTTATTTTAGGTAGGACTAGTAGTTTTAGTCCACGCGTTGCCGCATGAATATTAAATGAATTATAATTGTTATATATAAGTATTAAAATAACGGATTAAATGTGTTGTAAGCATTGTCCGTAGATAGAGTAGGAACTATTTACATAAAATATCAATGTAAAAAACTAAGGACAAATACTGTCATGATTGAGATTATATATCTTATGAACATAAAGAAAAAGCAACGTCTAAGAAATCAAAAAATTTCTACTCAATATTGTTCTCTTTCTTTAAGAAGAGATATCATGCAATATACAACCTTCACTATAAGCCTTGAAAAATAGCCAATCTCCAAAATATTTATTAAAAAAATTAAAAAAAAAATAAATAAAAAAACACGACAATTTATACTTTTATAGTGAAGGCAATTTTCATAACGTCCATAATCTTAATGGAAAAAAGATCGAAACATCTTAGTTGTGTACAGTGGGACATATTAATCGGAATTTTCCCACCTAAAGAATTGAAAGACAAGTTTAGACTTTTCAGGGTACGTAGCCGACCCAGTTCTTGAGGAATTTCACCATGAAACTTGTTGATTCCCAAGCTTATTTCAATTAGACAAGTAAGATTTCCAATGGAAGGTGGAATGGAGCCTACCAATTGTTTATCTTCTAGGTCCGAAATCAAGACTCTCTGGGTGGCACGGTGGCA